AAAAAGGAAAAAGGTCCACGTCAGAGCAATTACCACGGGAGTCTAGGGGGCACATCCTACACAAATCCAATTTTCAAGGACACATCATGCAACGGAGAAGAGCTGCACTTCCCCTCGCAGAGCCAGTGGGAGCTTTCACGACCCTGACCAGTGTCAGTGGTCTCTCCTTGCTCCTTGCTACGCTGTTACATTACAAACCCAGTGGGGGAAGCATGCAAAGACCCAGAAGCGCCAAACGAGAAGTGCTCACAGCAGCACGTTCAGGAAGCCAGGAATTAACTGGAAGCAAACATAATTCTGCACCTCCACATGCCAATTGCTCCAGGGGAGACGGGACTGTCACCCCTGGGGAGAAAGTGGCTGTTGCAGGCTAGCAACCTCCTCTCCATCTCCGATGTTGACATGCCTGACACGAGCCAAGTACTGCTCACAGCCAGCGAGAGGGGGGAAAAAAAGCTTTCTGAACAAACTGCTTAGCAAAAAAATCGGTTGCAATTAAGCCCTTCCATTCCCTGCACCTGCTATTATTAATCCAGTAGGAGCAGGCCAGACCTGTACACAAGCAGCACGCAAACATCCGGATCCATCAGCCCTGCTCAGGTAACAGTGCAGCGAAGCTTTAACACCAGTTCACACGTTGCGACATACTCTTCTGTCAGAGCCACCCAGCAGACACCACGTGCTTCCTGCACTCAACCGAGCGGCTGATATTTTAAGAAATGAACTTTAGCTTCAGACAGTTCGGCATGCAGAAAGCGCCATCCCCCAGAGCTCCTGGGAGGTAAGGATCGATACCGGCAGCACTGCTCCTGCAGCACAGGGCCCTTCCAAGCAGTTCGGCGAGGCTGAAGCTCATAGTGGCTCTGCTGAGGCTGACCTGGAGTGGCAGCAGCACCACAAGGACTCGGGGAGACACCAAGTGTGGTGAGGTGGAAAGGATGGGAGATGCTGCTCAACCCACCAGAAAAGGGGGTGTCAACCCAGGAGGAAACAGACTGGCCCGATCACAGAGGAATGGAGACTGGCCCAGGCTGGCGTGTCCTGTGGCTAAATTAGAGTTTGCATGAGTACAAGCAGTAATGGCATTTTAGCGGCCCCTTTGGGGATCTCAGGACTGGACTCCAGTCACACAGGCACACTCATCCATGCTGAAAAACACCTCGTTTTGCTTTGTAGACGTGCCCTACGTATAGGCATGTGGTTCTCCTCCCTTGCATCCCTCCTGAATCTCCAGGGCAAGGAGAGATGCTTGTTGCACCCTATACATTTCACAAGCTCTAGCTCTGGACATCACATATGCAGGTCCGGGACACTCCCCTGGCAAAGCCAAGCCTTGCCCGTAAGCCCCATCAGCAATGATGGGAAGGCAGGAGAGATGGCAGGGGATCAGGGAAGAGAGATGGCTTCACCCCAAGTTTTTAGTCTTATACAACTGAGTATGAGAGATGCTTCTACTCTGGGAGCTGACATACGCAACAGACTGGAAACGACCAAAGGAAACAGCAGGATTTGTATTCTGCATGACAGGAGTGCAGGGCTCGCTGTAAAAGCCATCGTTCCTGACAGCAGGAACCAAGCAGCAGCCAGCAGAGCCAGGCAGAGAAGGATCTTTGCACAAGTTCATTGAATTACTGCAGACTAAAAATAGCCAAGCTGCAGGAATCACAGAATGCCTCCGAGGCATGGTCTGAAACGATAGCTGCAAAAGAAAGGGATAATGCGGAAGGACAGGCAGACAGGCTGCAGAGCTTCACAGATTGGCGAGGCCCAGGAGAAAAAGGAGGGTAAAAAGAAACACCAAGCACTGACGTTACAGGAGAAACCATAGCCCGAGAGGAAAGGGGCTTGGAAATCAGCAGCGCAGTCAAAGCAGCGGCTTCCTTGCTAATTCTGGCGAGAAGCAGGAGGCCTGCCACAGCCGCCTCCTTTGAAAGATCAGAGAGCACCACACGGCAATCAGGACTTGAAAATTTTACAAGCTATCCAGAGCTGCTATGAAAGCGCAGCGCAGCTCAACACAGAGCAGCATTGGCACAGGGAGACACTTAGCACTTGCACACAACTCCCAGCTGCTGCCTGAGGCCTCCAGCTAGCCGACGTGCATCTCATAAAACCCGAAGCCCTGCAAGACTGGATGAATTCTGCTCCGTCTCACACTCTCATTTCAATGCCTCTCAAGTAGTCAAGGGATTTGGGGGGAACGGGGAAAGGACCGTTGCGCTCTGTCTCCTGTGACGTCAAGGTTCCCCCATTTGTTCCTCCTTGAGCGGCTGTGCTCCTCTGCCCACCGTGCACCTCGTCTCATGACTTCCCCCAGAGAGACCAAGAGGTCCAAGCTCTCATCAGCTTCACCACTGCCCGTGAGAGTCTCCAACAGCAGCACTGAAATCAGCCTCCAAGGAGTTTCATGCCACGACAGCTTTAGAAAAGCTTTGCGGAGCTGCAGGCACACCTTTGGAAACAACAGAGCTGGGGATTTTGCAGTACTCTTGAATTCAAGCACGTGTCCTGCGGAGAGGCTGGGCCCTGCCTCTCTACCCTTCCTCTAAGAGGTTTAATCCTCGCCTCTTCAGTGCCTGGATTTCTCATGTCCTGCTCGACACTGATCTAAAGTAAAAACAGTGACACACTAGCTCTGGAGGCACTAATACCCACACGTCTCAAACTCCACAGCTCCAGGGCTTTCTGGACACCAGGCTGAGGAAAACCGCACAAGAAAAACACACTCATAGGAAAGGAGAGATGGTTTGGTGCTTCGTGCACAGTCCTAAAACCTGGGAGGAGCTGACACTTCTCTGCACTACGAGCTACTTTGGTGCCACTCCAGACAAGTCACTCAGCCTGCCCGTGCCTCAGTTTCCCTGGCTCAGGGCCAAGCTCATTACAATTTTTAAGGTGATCAGACCCTTTGTCGAGCCCAGAAAAGCACTACAGGGACAGGCTGATAGCTAGAGCAAGTAGATCTTACGCAAGGTTTCTCCTAGACTCTTGGGGCATGGTGCAGATGAGGTGGGAACGTGGCACAAACCATCCCTTTCTCCCTGTCACCCACAAGCCTGGCGGTAACCAGGCTCCAGCACCGAGCGAAGGGCAGCAACAGGAAGCAGGAGCCACTAACTCTGCTTCGCATGGGTGGATACAGCATGCAACCGACTGCAGGCTTCGAGCAATCCTCCAGACAGTTAGCAGCTCTGTCCCCCCATATCCCCAAGCAGATCCCACACGCCTGGAACGCGAAGGGCAGCTCAGAGCACAGCCGAGTCCCATGCACTGCCGGCCGCGAGCGGGGACGCCTGGCAGCACATGCCAACTTCCGCATTCAGGGCTCTCATATGCTGCTGTGCGTTTTCTTTTTCCTACTAGCAAGTCTAGCTCAGAGAAGAAGAATCCCCCGGGTACAATTTCCCAGCATTGTGGCTTCCTCCTGCCTCAGGAGCAGCAGAAAAACAGCACTTACAGCTCCCTGCCCTTTTCATTCGGCTGCATCTTTCCATACGTGCAACTGAGCGGAAGGTAAAACAGAGGAGGCAGAGGCGTATGAGGAAGCTGGAGGTGCCCATCTCAAGCTTGCAATTACCAGTTGTTCAAGGTAGTCTCCCCCAGCGCGGTCTGGGTACTCCTCCCTTCCCAAATACCTCAGGTCATGACACTTTCCCATGTGGGAACAATTTCAGTGCTAATCTCCACATCCGGGGCCAGTGCACCACTCAGTCCTGCACCAGTTGCACTTTCAAAAACAGTTTTCAAGAGGGGAGAGGAAAGAGGAATCGGGTCCCATCCTGATCTTCCCCCACAGCACTGGGGGCTAACAAGAAGGGAGTGACCGTGTTTAATTGCAGTGGACACACAGCAACGACTTCAGCCAGGAGGCCACAAAACTCACTCACAGCTTCAGCTTAATCTATGCTGGCAACACTGGAAGTTTTACACTAACCTGTGGCTAAATAGTAGCAGCACTGGCCTGTTTATGGAAAAGCAGGTTTAAGCTCAGCTTCAATTATTTTCTAAGATAACAAAGACAGTCACAGTGAAGTGCAGCCAGGGGAGCACTGCCAGAGAGAGCGAGGATTAAGGCCAGCACCTTCATTCCCTGCACATAATGGCAAAGAAAAAGCAGAAGCAGATGTCCAAGATGAGCTCCAACCTGGCCCATATGAGGTATCCCATTCAGCCGGCCTCTGTCACCTCTGCTCTTTCTCACATTTGTGCTTCTGCTTTTCTATTTCTGCTTCCAGACTCCAGCTGGAGCCAGACAGATATGAGGAGTTCACCTCAGGCCTCCAGCCTGAGTCTGCAACCTCCTGAAGAGGTTGGAGGGACGGCCGGGTTCCTGTGCTAACCGTGGTACACTGAAGCACCTATTCATCCCAATGTTATTTGGCAGAGCCCCAGCAGCAACTAAAACCCATCAAAGCAAGGCACCTGGGAAAGCAAACCAAACTCTGCGCAGTTGGGAAGTTCCAGTGGAAAAAGGTTCAACTGGCTTGGCAAGAGAGACGAGAGCCCTCATCTCCCGTCAAGTCTATTCTGAAAGCTCTGCTGGGGTTATTTATCCAGCAGGAGACTTCTGCTGCCTCCTAGGGCTTGCGCGCTTTTGTGATAGACCTGCAGGTTGCCAACTAGAAACGAAGTCAACTCTGTCGAGTTCCCATTCAGGTTGGCATGGTCTTTTCTCTGGCACCTCCAGTAACAAGTTAGCTCTTACATAAAGGCAGAGAAATAGCAGTTTAGATTTTCACCCGCTGTCTGGGCAACAGGATAACACAACACAGTGGGCTGATGCAGGTTTTGGCTGGTTACTTCATTTGCTGTACAGATTAAACACCCACCTCTAAGAGCTGCTCCCACACAGCTACTCTGTCCTGACCACCCAGATTGGGGTGGAGAGGAAGCCTGGGACATACCAGCAAGCAACACAGTAGGGGAAGAGAAAGAAGGGGACTATTGTAACTCAAAAATGTAATCGCTGGAGAGCAAAGGAACTCTCCAACAACACTTACCATCCTCTGTCTCTTGCCAGACAATGCCCTCCAGGTTCACGCTGGTCCCAGGTTCACAAGGGCCCAGACACTCCGGCTCGGTGGCCAGTGCCACATCACACGTATTCACTCCCACAGAACGGGTGCGCACCATGATCTGCTCACAAGGCGACGAGATGTCGTTGTTGACAACAGGGACGAGGAGGTGCAAGGGCAACACTGCAGGCGTCGAGACCGGAGACTCCATCTGTGGGGAAGGAGAAACACACCAGTCACTGTCAGGAACACACGAAGGAGAGCAAGTATCAACAGGCATCTATATTTCCGGAGAACCCCAAGCCCAGGGCTACCACCTTCTTAATTCCTATGCCAAAATTGCCTTTGGCCTGCTTGCTAGGAGGTGGTTCAAGTCCCACGCATTGTCAGAGGACGAGGATCTAGTAGGCCTTTTCCACCCCGGCGTGCCCGTACCCACACAACGCTGAAAAGCCAGCACTTTGTAGTTGCTTAGATCACACCCAACGTCCTTCCACAAGAGGTATCTGCTCTGCTGTTGAAGGTGCTTGGGCCAAGTTCCTTCACAGACTACTTTTGCTGGTGTAATCATCCCTGGTCAGGATGCCTTTTGGCTATTGCTCAGATGTTAATGTAGTCAATGACTTTGGACATGATGGCTCATTAGGAAAAAAAAAAAAAAAAAAAAAAGAGTTTTCCTCACACCGGGGGGGGGGACAACACA